TGTCTTTAAAAAAAATTTCTCCTTTGCCTTTTGCATTTATCCTTAAGTTGTACATTTTTTCCATCTTGTTCTTAACTTTTAGAAAGTGCCCTACTTTCTGAAAGAAATAATAGAGCTTTACATGTTATGCCGGTTCTTAGCATTACCACTCCAGGGCTGCTTAGATCATAGTACTTCCTCCTGGAAGTTGTTGTGAGAAGTCCAAATTTACTTTTTCTTCCTAACTAGTATGGCCTTTTTTTTTGGAGACAGAATCTCACTCTGTTGCCCAAGCTGGAGTGCAGTGGTACCATATCAGCTCACTGCAGCCTCCACTTCCTGGGCTCAAGTGATTCTGGTGCTTCAGTCTCCCAAGTAGCTGGGACTACAGACGCATTCCACCACTCCTGGCTAGTTTTTTGTATTTTAGTAGAGGCAGGGTTTCACCACGTTACCTAGGGAAGTCTCGAACTCCTGACCTCAGGCGCTCCTCCCGCCTTCACCTCACAGTGTGCTGGGATTACAGGTGTGAGCCACTGCACCCTGACTGCCCCAGCTTTCTTTACCTTGGGCATTCTAAAAATAAATTATGAATGGTTATTCTCAAACCTAATCGGTGGTGCTCACTGGAGCCTGCTGAGAAGGGAGCGTGTGCCGGGAGCTGGGGCCTGTCAGCAGTTTTCAGAGAGGTGTCGGCACTCAGCAGTGAGGTTCCAGAGCCCTGCCAGGAGCCAGGGATGTGACTGGCAGAGGGGAGGAAGAGTACAGGGCCGCTGCTGCTGCTGCATGTACCCCTAAGGAGAAGGGCCCTGATGCTATTTAGCCTCACTGGTGACGGGCGTGGGAAGGATGAAACTCTAGTGACTTGTCCGCAGTCCACCTCCTGAGAGCCCCCATGAGCTAGGAGGGATTCCCGTTATTGGTTGCCCTCTTTTTCTTTAATGACTCTGTTCTTTCCATCAGAAAGCTAAGGAGATTTATTCATTTTATAACCTTAGGGAAGTATATTTCAATTTCTGTTGTTATTATTTGAGATAAAATATTGTCACATTTCCTTAGGTGGAGCCTACATCTCTTTAAGTAGAAAAGGGCAAAAGGAACAGCAAGGCAACATTTTCTACCATGCCACACCAGGCCTCGTTGGTATTTTTCGAAGTTGGGAGGAGAGGGGGAAGGAGAGTCCACTTTGTCATTTGATATTTGTCTGTAGTAATTTACAGGATCAAAGTCCATTTTTGCTTTTTGAAGATCAGAAGTGGTCTGGCCTTCTTCTTCCTATTTCTTCCTCCCTATTCTGTTCCCCAAATTTGATGCTATCCTCCGGTATTTCAGATGAAGAGATGTTTGAATGTGCACTTGTTAAACAGTGACACTGGACTAGAGCCTTGCGTGATATGTGCGAGTGCAATATGTTTCCAAGTACCTGATTTTCCCAGGTGGAGATTTGCTGACGGTGTATCTTATCTCCAGCTCTAAGAATTAGTCACGTAATTGTTTCTGAAGTAGTTATTGCAGCTAGGTTACTCTCTGTAGTATTGTTGTGGCCAAGTGCTAAGTTGAGGTGGAGAACCTGGGAAGGTACCTGGTGGTTAAGGTGGTTTATAATTTGGATAGTGAGATGCAAAGGTCATTGATATTTTACATACCTTTGTGGGGCTTAGTTTTAATTCACAATTTTAACAAACAGTCTGGAAGCCTATGGAAAGCATTGCTCCCTTCCAGCTGATCCCGTTCACCTTCCCGTGAGTTACTGCTTGTTTCCTTTGTGTCGTATGTTTGTAGAATGTCTTAGGTGCTTTTAAAATGTAAATGGTTTTATGTGTTGATTTTTGTGTGTGTCCTTGCTTTTTTACTTTAGATATGGAGGAACTCTTTCAATGCAGAGATCTATCTCATAAATCTGTGGTTGCACAGAACTCGTTGGTAGATTTATATACTGTAGTGTGTTCTCATTTAAGCAAAAAGGAGGCTTTGCATGAGTGGGGGCTTCTAGTGGAAAATCCTATTCCTTCAAACTGTTGTTCTTACAGCCTTCTTGAATAAGAGTGAAACCCCTTAAGGATAGAATGCAATATTTAGAACTTTAAAGCTTTACCTTCAAGCCTGTCTTGGGATTTGAAGGTCAGTCATGTTAAAGTTCTCATTGTAATCATATAATCTGTAATGTTGAACTTGCAGAGTAATGTAGAGAATGAATCATACAGAAACCTTGTCCTTGTTGTGAAGTTGGAGACAGGAGCAGGCATAACACTCTGCAGTGGTACAAAGAAAGGGTCTGGGTGGGCATCTGAGAGGGAGTGAGGCCACATAGGGTCAGGAAAGATGACAGAGCCACAGACCAGGAGAAGTGCAGGGCAGGGCCTTTGTGCAGAGGCTCAGGGAAAGTCCAGGGTTTGAAGTCTGAGCAAGAGTGGGGGTTGAGGGGTGGGGTGGGAGAGATTGTGGAAGCCTCATCATAAAGGATCCCTTGGGCATCCTGTCCAGGAACATGGGCAGGGAGCCCTGGGATTGGCCTGGGCTTGGAGAGGGTGCCCTGCCTGTGCCTGCTGAGTCACGGAGCCACAGGGGGAGTGTGAGCTCCTCAGGAGGAGGAGAGAACCGGACACCAGTGAACATGCCAGGCTTTGGTGCATATAGCAAAGGTAACGTGAAGCCCGCTCCCAAGCTGTGCCCAGTCCAGCCCACAGGGGGACCTGGTGCTGAGCGAGCTTAATTGGCACCACCCTGCTGTCCTTTAGAGAAAAGGTCCATTAATTATCAGGTGCTGATTATTTCCTAGTAAGGAAGCATGAATGTGATGGAAGAAGCTGGAAGGCATTCTGCGGTTCAGGAAAGCTGGGGAGCACTGCACTGGGTGTGGTCAGAACTATACTGCCCAGCTTGCAGCAGGTGATGGAGGAGGACATAGGTCCGGGGGCAAAAGGGCTGGGAGTTGGGGGCAGTGCCAGGCATCCACTAGGGTCTGGTAGGGTGTGCTCCATGGGCCCTACTCCACATGGAGTATTGTGAAAGAGGTTGTGGAACTGCTATATATACACACATTCATGTACACATACATATATACATATATACGGATACATGTACACATACTTGTATATATGCACACATACATATACTTGTATATATTTACACACATATGCACACACATACATTCATATATAGATACACACACTTTTTGCCTCATCCTTTTATGTTATTTCTGTTGTTATAATGAACATGATATAGTAGTACATATACATATATGTGGGATGCATGCTCAAGACTGATAATTGGAAACAGGTGATCAGATTGTTCTGGAGAACTCGGAAATCTTGAGCAGGAAAAGGACAGACTTTTTGGACAAACCATCTAAAGAAGGAGAAGTGCCACCTGGGGATGGTGTAGACTGAAGGGCCTGGAAGGTGACCTGGTGATGCAGTAGCCAGGGCCCCCATGCGGTGGGCACAGAGAAATGGGAGACATGTGGAAGAACACATTGTCAACATCTGCCAACCACGATGGAAGAGCAGTGAAGAGGGGAAAGAGGCAGCTAGAATTTAGTAGCACCTGTGACACAGGAGGTGTGTGCAGAGTGGTTCTTCTGGCATTTGACTCTGTTTTTGTCTTACTAAAATGTGGAAATTAAATTTAACTTAATTTATACTTTTGTATTAAAATAATTCAAAAGTATAGGAAGGTCATATCTAATGTCCTCAGACTTCTAAAATGTGGAATGTCTTAAGAGGAACTGAGCAATTGAGAACACAGGTGGTGGGTGCCTATAGCAGAGGATCTCAGATTTGGGCCACATCAGCATCACCTGGAGCCTTGCTAAGCCCAGATGGCCAGGACACACCTCAGAGTTTCTGCTTTGGGAGCTGTCCTACAGCTGTAATAACAAAATACCACAAACTGAGTGGCTTATTAACAACAGAAATTCATTTCCCACAGTTCTGGAGGCTGGGAAGTCCAAGATGAAGGCCCCAGTAGATTCAGTGTCTGGTGAGGGCTCACTTCCTGGTTCATAGATGGCGCCTTCTCGCAGTGTCCTCACATGGCAAAGGAATAAGGGGGCTCTCCGGGGTCCCTCTTATGAGGGCATTGACCCCATTCATGAGAGCTCTGCTTTCCCAACCCAGTCACCTCCCACAGTCCCCACCTCCTAATGCCAGTACATTAGGGGTTAGGATTTCAGCATGTGAATTTTAAGGAGACACAAATATTCAGACCATAACAACAGCCGTGGGTGAGACCTGAGAATCCGTATTTCCAGCAAGTTCACAGGTGAGCTGCTGGTACAGTTTGAGAAGACACTTTGCATAGCTCTGGTCTAAACAAGCATTTGTGCTATTCTCCATTAGAGGGTTCCCTGTGGAAGTGAGTTTCTTTTATCTAGACTTTTAAAACAAAGTAGTAAATTTTCTTGAGGTACTTAAGTAAATGGATTTGAATTTCTGGCTCTTCTGACTTACAAGTTTATAGGCTTTTAATTTATCATTTAATTTACAGTTTGGGCTCGGGCCCAGGGCAGCGCCACCTGCTGAGTTCCGAGCGAGCGCACGGAGCCCGCGGAGGTCTCCGGGCGCGCCTGCCGGTTCCGGTTTTCGCTGAGTCTCCCCCGCCCTTTCACGTCCGCCTCTTTCTCCACAACCAGACGCGGCTCCGCCGGCGCTCGGCCTCCTGCTCTTCGGGCTCCCAGGCTCTGCCCGCAGCGCGCGTCGCCCAGTCACTCATCGCCTGGTGTCTTCGGGCCCGGCGCGGGCGCCTCACCCCAGGCGAGTGGCGGTAATGCCACTGCCATCCTTGCGGCCGGGCAGGCAGCTAGCGGCTGCCGCAGTCGGAGCGCATTCGCCGCTGGCCGGGACGCCGCCCTGGCCTGCGCTCAGTTCCCGCGGCGGCCGTGGGGCGCTGGGGCCGGGCGCGGCATGAGGAGGAGGAGGCTCAGTGCAGGCGAGCGCCCAGCTCCTCGGGCCCCCAGGGCCCCTTCGCGTCGCGCGCGCCGGTTGCGGCCCTGGCGCCCACGCTAGCCCAGCGTAGGCACGAGACACCGCAGCCCGGAGCAGGAAACGGCTCAGGCCTGCGGAGAGGATGCGGGCGGCCGGGACCCTGAGCGCGGGGCTTCGCGGCTGGATCCCACCGGGCGCGGGCAGCGGAGCCGGGCGTGCTGCAGTTCGCTGCCCCTCTCCGCAGGGCGCCGCGGCGCGCAGCCTGCGCCTCTCCACACCTGCAGCCCCTTCTCCCGCCGCTGCCTGGCGGAGAAAACGCGCCTCCTAGCCCTTCCCAGGCCTCTTTGGATTCCGCCCCCCCTTCCTTCTCCCTGCTCCACCTCTTCCCTCCTCGGCCTCCGCGCCTCCCCTCCCCCGACTCTCCGGCCTCCCATTCATTCCATCAGCTCCTTCCTATTGCCTCTTTTCCGCTCGGTCCCTGTCCCCAGAGCCTCCCCCGCGTGGACACCGCTGCAGTGTCGGGGTTCTCAGCACATTTATGGAAGTTTAGGGCCTGGACAGTGGCCCCGAGTCCGGCCTAAGAGCGCAGCCTGGGCTGCTTGCCGGGAAGAGGAAGATGTCTGTGCTCAGGCGGATGATGCGGGTTTCCAGTCGCTCCCTTCTCGCCTTCATCTTCTTCTCCCTCTCTTGGTCCTGTCTGTACTTCATCTATGTGGCCCCGGGCATCGCCAACACATATCTCTTTGTGGTACAACTCGAGATATAATGTTGAGAGAAAATGTGAAAACAATAGGTCATATGATCAGACTGTACACAAATAAAAACAGTATGCTCAACGGTACAGGAGGATTCCTCAATGTCAATGTAAGTGAAATAAGTTTTCATGAAATTCATCAGCTCTTCTCCAAGGATTTAGACATCGACCAAGGGGGTCATTGGAGGCCAAAAGACTGTAAACCCGGATGGAAGGTGGCAGTTCTCATTCCTTTCCGTAATCGCCATGAACATTTCCAATTTTTTTCTTACGTCTGATTCCATTGCTCCAGAAGCAAAGACTGGAATTTGTCTTTTATGTCATTGAACAGACTGGCACACAACCTTTTAATGCGATGCTCTTCAATGTGGCTTCAAAGAGGCCATGAAAGACAGTATTTGGGACTGTGTAATCTTCCACGATGTGGATCATCTACCTGAAAATGACCGGAACTATTACGGATGTGGAGAAATGCCACGTCCTTTTGCTGCAAAGCTGGATAAATACATGTATATTCTTCCATATAAAGAGTTTTTTGGTGGTGTAAGTGGGCTGACAGTGTAACAATTTAGAAAGATCAATGGTTTTCCTAATGCCTTCTGGGGATGGGGAGGAGAAGATGATGACCTTTGGAACAGAGTTCACTATGCAGGATATAATGTAACCAGACCAGGGGAGACTTAGGAAAATACAAGTCAATTCCTTATCACCATAGAGGTGAAGTCCAGTTTTTAGGACGGTGTAAACTACTAAGGTATTCCAAGGAGCATCAGTACATCGATGGGTTGAACAATTTAATATATAGGCCAAAAATACTGGTTGATTGGTTGTATACAAACATATCTGTAAACCTCATGCCAGAGTTAGCTCCAATCAAAGACTATTAAAAGAAGTGGCTCTCATGGCAACATAGACCACAATGCTGGGTCATAAATTTGGAGTACACTCATAGTGGAGGTCAGTGATTGGCTGTGTCACAGTGCCCTTTTTTTCTGAGAAGAGCCATCTGTCCTGAATGTTTACAGAGTGGGACTATATACAGTCACCCTTCTCTCACCTGTCGTCCCTGCTCTGACACATACCCCCAAGGTGAGCACCGCAGAAACTAGAAGCCACTACTTAAGATTGGAAGTTAAGAGAGCTCCCTACGAAGAGAAAATTTTTATACTAAAATCTATAATTTAATTCAAGAGAATGCTTTTATTTCCATTTAAACATTTTGTATATATGTAATATAAATTAATGTGTGCAAATTGTTAAAAAAAATAAGATGTGTTGCAATTTTGCATGTAGTTATATCTTTATTGGACTTTTATGGACATTTTTTTATTTGCATGAAAAAAACCTCACTAAATTTATGCCACTAAACAAAGTTTAACCCTTGTGTGAAATGAAGGAACTGTCAGTAATTGACAGCCAACTAAAACAGTAAACTGTTATACTAGTTTTGAGCTTTAGACCTCAGCCTTTTGTGTGGACGAAGTCACAGCTTTCTTAGGCTTTAAAGGGAAAGAAGAAAGGACTTAAACAGCTTTTCTTCCTACCAGGATTACCTATGTTTTTCCTTGTTTGCAATCTCATCTGATTTTGCTAGAAATCACAACCATATTGTTTATGCATATTGCATGAGTATTACCAAAAAAATCTTAAAAGTTGTGATGTGACATGATATAAAGGACTTCTTTATGTTAAATGGCTTTCATGTACCTCTGGTGTGTCAGGGATTTTGTGCCTCAAAAAATGTTTCCAAGGTTGTGTGTTTATACTTGGTATTTTTTTTTAACTCACAGTGAACAGCACTTTTATTATTTCCAGCTTAGAAGAGCCAAAAAAAATCTTCATTTAAAAAGAAATCAAGTCAGTTTTTTTAAAACAATGATCTATGGAAGAAAACCCAATAGTGCTTATAATATACAAATGAATTATACTATTAGATAAGAATTAAATGTTCTATTTTTATGAAGATAAATACTTAGCAGATAAAAACAAACTTTAAGTTTAGTTGTCAGACATAGAATTTCACTTTTGGAGGGGACCCTTGAATGTTAGTTTCATTCAAACTATATATATATATATATATTTTCACTTTTAAGAGATTATATATCTGGTGTTAATTACTAAAATTTCCTTTCTAAAAGTATAATTTAATAATCTTAAGATACATGATCAGTTATTAAGTGCACTGATACTATAATGTCTTCAATATGTAGTATCTTGTATGTTTCCACGAGTGTCAGGGCTTTGTCCAGTTTTCTTCATATGACAGTTCTACTATAAGGACACATGCACACGAATGTTCATTGCAGCACTGTTTACAATAGCAAAGACCTGGAACCAACCCAAATGCCCATCGATGATAGACTGGACTGGGAAAATGTGGCACATATACACCATGGAATATTATGCAGCTATCAAAAATGATGAGTTCATGTCCTTTGTAGGGACGTGGATGAACCTGGAGAACATCATTCTCAGCAAACTGACACAAGAACAGAAAATCAGATACCACAAATTCTCACTCATAGGCGGGTGATGAACAATGAGAACACATGGACACAGGGAGGGGAGCACTACACACTGGGGTCTATTGTGGGGAATAGGGGAGGGACAGCAGTGGGGGGGAGTTGGGGAGAGATAGCATAGGGAGAAATGCCAGATTGGGTGAAGGGGAGGAAGGCAGCATATCACACTGCCACGTGTGTACCTATGCAGCTATCTTGCATGTTCTTCACATGTACCCCAAAACCTAAAATGCAATAAAAAAATAAAATAAAATAGTTTGTAATTTGGGGGATTTTGCAGTATACTTTGAAAACCATGATATTGCCTTACATGAACTACAGAGAACAACTCAGCATCCTCTACAGACTTAGAAAAGATGTTTAAAAGTTTCTTCCTGTGAGTTGCAGAAATTAAAATAATATAAAAGTATAGGAAGGTCGTATTACCTGATGTCCCCAGTCTTCTAAAATAAACAAATACATGCATGTATAAACAAATAAATACATACATTTAAAAATGCATGTAGCTAGGCCAGGCTCAGTGGCTCATGCCTATAATCCTGGCACTTTGGGAGGCCGAGGCAGGTAGATCACCTGGTCTGAAGTTCGAGACCAGCCTGGCCAACGTGATGAAACCCTGTCTTTGCTAAAAATACAAAAATTAGCCAGGTATGGTAGCAGGTACCTGTAATCCCAGCTACTAAGGAGGAGAATTGCTTGAACCCAGAAGGTGGAGGTTGCAGTGAGGCAAGACTGTGCCACTGCATTCCAGCCTGGGTGACAGAGCAAGACTCTGTCTCTGAAAAAAAAAAAAAAAAAAAAAAAAAAAATGTAGCTTTAAAAAGCAAAAGCATTGACCCTGCTGTATGTATTATCCTCTAAGTCTCCAAGTTGTCCTTTTCACTTAACGTTGGCATTGGCATTTTGTGTGTAAAGACTTCTTAAAGGTGCAAAAGATATTCTGCAAAACCTACTGTGTCTTATACTTTTAAAAAAGTGACATCTTGAGGCAAAATTTTTTCCCCTGAAAATATTGGTAGGATTTTATTAGGTAAGTCTGTGGGAAGGTATTAGTCACAAACAAGGGTTTTATAGCTGGATTTCAGAGCCTGCCAGCTGGGACTGCAGAGGGCTGCTCTCTTGCCTGCTTCTGAGGGCAAGAAATTGGAGTTATGCCTTCCTGGAGGGCTGAGAGCAGGGCAAGGACCACAGGGAGGTCTGACAAGCAAGTGTCCTCTCTTTCATTTGGAACATGCTGGTTGCTAGAGCCTGCACAGGCACCCCAAATTGCCTTTTTATTTGGGCCACTTTTGATCCTGTGTAACCACTTAGGATACGTGCAGGCATGGAAGGCTAAGGCTTCTTCGGATTCAGGAATAGGCATGGTTCCCCATTCAGCAACCATGATACTCCGGTGTATCATGATGCCTGATGTTTGAGCAACTCATTCTTTTGGTGGGAACTAGCAACTGGAAAGCTCCCTCACCCCAGGAGCACATCCCACTTTCTTATTTCAAGAATTAAACACAGAGCAGTGTCTTTTTATTATTATTATTATTATTGAGTTGTAGTTCGCTCTTGTTTACCCAGGCTGGAGTGCAATGGCGCGATTTCGGCTCACCGCAACCTCCGCCTCCTGGGTTCAGGCAATCCTCCTGCCTCAGCCTCCCGAGTAGCTGGGATTACAGGCACGCACCACTGTGCCCAGCTAATTTTTTGTATTTTTAGTAGAGACGGGGTTTCACCATGTTGACCAGGATGGTCTGGATCTCTTGACCTCATGATCCACCCGCCTCGGCCTCCCAAAGTGCTGGGATTGCAGGCGTGAGCCACCGCGCCTGGCTGAGCAGTGTATTCTAATTTGAACTTTCTGGTCAGCTTAAGCAAAACTTTGAATGCTTTTCTTCTTAGAAGAATGATGCATATTCTTATCTGCTTTAAGAAAACATTTCAGTTGTGCCACCTCAGGGTTTATCCAAGGCAAGTCAAAGATTTGCCCTTTTGCAGAGTGCTAGGGTGATTGGAGTTCTTGGGAGGTGAGTAAGGATGCTTCTTTCCTATGTACACTTGGTGTTTTGTTTAGATGGTGGGGGCGGTGGGAGGACTACAGCCAGGTGGAGAGCAGCTTGGGTTGGGGGTATCAGAATTTTCCAAGCACCTGATTTGGTGCTTGACTTGTACCCAGGCAGGCCAGTCCCAATGGACAGCTGTGTCTTTCACTGGAGGAGGGCGCAGATGCACTTGGTAGGGCATGCTGTGGGTGCAGAGGGATTTAGCCTATACTTGGCTTGATTTGAGGTCTGTGACCTGGGCATATGAGCATCAATAGATTAAAGGTGGCGACAGGTCTGGCTCTGTTTTGGTTCTGGTTATGTTTCACGGCTTAACCAACCACTTAGTGGCAGAAAACAGTTACTGTTGTATTTATACCTACGGGTTTGGTGGGTCAGGAATTTGAGATGGGGATGACTCTTCTCTATTTCGTGATAGAGCATCCACTTGGGGGTGACTTCTTCACTGGCAGGTGTCGTCCTTGAGGACAGACTCAGGCTTGGCTGTTGGAGTGCCCACAGGCAAGCTGTCCGGTCTCGGGTGGTCAGACTTTATGCATGGTGGATCAGGACTCTGAGACCAGGTGTCCCAGCAAATGTGGCAGAAGCACTGGCCCTCTGTGACCATCTAAAGACGTCATATAGTGTATTTTCTGCTCTTCCTTGTGGTCCAAGCAGCCCTAGTTCCCCAGGTTTAAAAGAAGATCACAGAGACACTCTTCCTGTCCCCCTATGCAAGGTGTGCCAAATAATTTTGGGACAGGCTTTGAAAGTGTCACTTTGGAGGCTCCCTTTGCGTATAACACACAAGGACTCCACATAGCTTTATTGCAAGCACTCGGCAGACAAACTGTGTTATGGCTCAGATAAGGCTTTTCGGTACAGCTCACACGTTCAGAAAAGCTTGAGAGGAACAGCAAACAGTCCAGAATCAGAGTGCATGCAGCAGCAGCATTCTGGAACTTTCTCTGCCAGTAATACTTTCAGTGTGCCTAAGGAGCCCTCTGTTTGCACAAGGTTTCCATTTTGAATACCTCTCTAAATTAAAGTGTTCCTGCTCTGAACACTGGAAGGTTGGAAATTGCTACTCATTCACCTGAAATGGAGGGCATCTTTCACATTCAAGGAGGCTTTGCTGCCCCCCTGAGGACTTCATGGAGGTTGATGTCACTCAGTTATTGTTTGAGCACATGCCACGTGGCCTCAAGGATGGAGGATTAGTTTAGAGGATGTGTTTGGAAATGAATAAGACGCCTTTCTTCCATGCAGATGGGAAGGACTCTGGCGCCTTTGACAGGTCATGCAGGCCTTGGACTGAGCCCTCACCTTTGGAAAGGTGGCCTGGGGTGGGTGGACACTCGCTGTATGGCCTTGATTAAGTCGCAGGATGCCTCTTGGTGTCTGTCTTCCACTGTGGGATGGTGTTGATACCATTACTTTGTGATTAGAACCAGCATAAAAGGCCTAGGTTCTGTTTGCCTGTTAGACATCTTCGTGAGGGTTATTACAGGATGCCCTGAGCGGAGCATGTGCTTATCTCAGACTATCCTCCCCTGCCCCAGCTGTCTGCCTCTGGTGCTTTTGTCTTGTGACATCACTGTCCTCACCCCCAGGACCTATGGGCTCTGCCTTCTGCATTATTTACTCTCTGCCCACCTCCTCCATCGCCCATCTGTCTCTCACACCCGTGCTTCCAGGTTTGCTTGGGCTACAGCACCTCACTGTGCCTCATCATGCTCTGAAGAGCTGTTCATTGCCTGCTGTCTGGAGCCCAGCTTTCTTGGAATAATATAAAAGGAAACATAGTGGTGCCCAAAGTTGGTTCATGAACAGAATCTCCTGGGGCTTGTTAGGAGAACAACCATCCTGTCCATCTTGACCTTGCTGCTGCATCTTCCCCTCCCCAGAGGCTTCTGCTGATGTTGCCCTTCCCTCCCCACTGCCTTCCTCCATAAGAATCTCCTCCTCTGTCCAGGAGTCATCCCACCTATGAGTATGTGACCCACAGGCATCCTCATGCTGCTCCCCAGGACTTGGGTGACTGCAGCCTTTACTTCTCCAGTGTGCATTATATATAGGTGGTTGCTGGCCATTTTCCTTCAAGGAAAAGAACTCCCTGGACTGGAGTCACCCTAGTGATT